GAAAGAAGCGGGTGAAATTTTTGCATAGTCTCGGTCATCATTACTAAAATCATTAATATAAACAGCATAGTCTGGATTATCCACTTTTTTTGATTTAAGAGTGTATCCTCGAGAAGACCATGCAAAAATCACAAAAAGTGCCAAGATGGGGGGTCGGAATTTTTTGATCAAACTTATGGTATGACACCCCCTAGGGGCAAGAGGTAACATGCTGAAGTGGTTACAGTCTGATGTCGCTATAAAGGACTGTACAGGAATTATTCATTTTATGGGTAAAATTGCGGTTTTCAAATGTGTATTTATCACCTTTTTTAAGCACAGACTGCATTCTATGGTGGAATAGCAACCTTCTAATTGACCCTGTCTGATAAAGCGGGTGGTTAACTTCTACCCCAGCAATAATTTGAAAAAAAAAAAATCAGTACATACTAATTTTGTGTGAACTTGTTTTAGGGTACCATATTCACATTGTCCTTATAGTGCAGAAAAAGATACAATGTAACTTTTTCTTTCATGGTCGCAAGTAGAATTTCTTTGGGTGGTTTTGAAGTGCTAAGCACATAGTATCCATAGGTGTAAAAAAAATGACCGGAATGCAACATACTTAAAATATACAGCTTATTGAAAAGTGCTAAAAAAATGCGAATTTAATTAGAGAAATAAAATTTTTGACTTTTATACGTTTTCATCATATCCATAGCCATTATTTGTACCATGTTGTACTCTATATAAGTGTGTATTTGTATTTATTGTATATTTGGTATTGTCGTATTGTCCCTTTAACATATTTGCTGTATTGTCTCTTTAAGATTTCATTTTCAAACAAGTTACCGAAAATGGCTACAAAATGTTTAATTTCAGAGCATGTTTCCACTATTCATTTTGGGACACATCCACTGATTTCTACAATACAGAAATGTGGAAGCTTAAATATTAACGGCAACGAAGCCTAATTGCGTCGAAGTGGGTGACATTGAACAGTGTAGTATGGTAGCTACAGCTCTCGGGCACCGTCAGCTGCACCTTCAGGGCCGGATTTAGAATAAGAGAGGCCCTAGGCAAACCCCTTGAACAGGGCCCACGACATGAACCTTGGGGCCCTGGGACAAGCAACTCGGTGAGAGGGTGGGTCGGGGGAAGTCATGCGGTTGGTGGTTCGAATCTCACTTTTAGGTGAATTTTTCATTTTCGTTGGATTATTTTATTTAAAATAATGTCTATTTGAGAGTGATGCGGTTGGTGGTTCAAATCTCACTTTTAGGTGAATTTTTCATTTTCGTTGGATTATTTTATTTAAAATAATGTCTATTTGAGAGTGATGGATATGTTTGTTAAGATTGAGCACGTCGAAACTCCAATGGAAGGTCGTGGACAACTGCAGAAGTCAATTCCCGTTGACGCCAGATGAGCCATGAACGATTACAGGCCTTTGAAAGTATTTTTTTTCAAGATATTTTTATAAAACAGATACTAATGTATTTTAGGGCTGGTAGTAAACACCATATGAATGAAAAGGAAAATAAATTGTTAGTTTTTTTTTATCTACTACGGTTAATTATCTCCAAAATAGGGAAATTACAGGTTAATTTCATGGGTTATTGTTTCCTTTACCTAGTTTTTGTCAAGTCGATTCCGGTCATTTTTATTTTTTGTATCAAATGTTGGGAGGTTGCTTGTTCACGTGAGCATAAATTTTTTAAACCCACCCCATGAAAGAAGTAGCTATAGGGCGTCAAACTTTGGGTGACGAAAAATGGGGAATTTAGACAGGCTTTGATATCCAGTCCGTATACAGATCTCGTTCGCCAGAATCGTCTGAAGTTAATATTGTGGTAACAGCACTGAGTCATCGATAAACTGTGTGAGTTTGGTTTTTCTGCTACGTATAGTAAAGGTGTAAGGACTTGCCAAAGTTGGTATTTGAGAAAAGACAGATTTTGGCAATTTCACCATATGAAAAATGTTTTTTCAATTTTCTCATACAGGGATTGAAAGATTTATCTAATATTGCACATTTATGTGTTTTGGGACTATCCCAACTTATAAACCAAATTTGGTCAAAATCTGTGATTGAAGCCTTAGCACCTTCTGCATGGTTTTCTCGCGGACACGCTCTTAATTATCAACGGCCGTTAGCGGCATATAGGAATCTAATCCAGCCAACATCAAAGGCTAGCCTTGACATCGAGAGTTTATTATGGTCTGAATAAGTTAATTAATGCCTAATTGATAATTTAGATAACATTTCAGGCCTAAAGAAAGACTTGTAATAAGCAGATTTTGCTCTTGCATAATGCATGTTTAATTTTAATCTTATTAAAACAAAAGTCCTGTTATTTTCATTTAATCCCCATTCACATCTACCAAACTTAAAACTCGGTGACACAGAATTAGAAATAGTCCCCACACATAAAAACCTCAGTGTTACACTATCAAGTGACTTCAGGTGGTCAAAACACATTGATACTATATGTTCTTCGGTATCCAAACAAATAAAAACTCACTAAACATAATCTATAAAACATACATAAGACCTAATCTGGAATACTCTTGCCAAGTTTGGGATGGGTGTAATGACTCCGACAGCGGCAAACTAGAAAAAATCCAATTAGAAGCTGCCTGCATTGTTACTGGTTTACCGAAATATGCAAGCAACCAATCGCTATATCTCGAAACAGGATGGGAAAGCTTGATCGAAAGGAGACATCAAAGGAAACTCACAACTCTATACGAAATTCACAACAACCAATGTCCTACGTACTTATCTGAAATCTCAAACAATTATCAACCTCCCAATACTACATACTCACTACGAAACCCTCAAAACCTAAAACCACTACTTGCTAGAACCACAACATTCCAAAAATTCTTCTCCCCCTCTACCAGGGATCAGGCCGATTGTTAAAACAATGAACCGACCACTAATGGTATCATAAATCAATCGACTTTCGGCCGATTACAAAGAGTTAATTATTACTTGTCGATTAAGAAACCCATCAAAGAGTCAATCATTACAATGAATACCTTCGACTTATTTCATAAATAAACAACTTAATTGAGGTAATCATGCCAAGTACTTGAACACCTCGCAGAATGACACCAGGAAACGTAAACGAGATTTAATTGAAGATAGTGATGGCGGCATTGACCTTGAACTTCAAGCATGCACGTCGTCAAAGGAAGTTCCAAAAGCCGGAGATCCTCCCACGTGCAATATAGGTCAACCAAATTATCCGCAATAAAAGACCGTATTAATCATACCTGCGCAGCAAAGAAAGACGATGACAGAACAAAGAGTTTAATTCCCAAATTTATAGAAATTGTTTCAAACCGGGCCTTAATCCGAAATGCGTATTCCATAGCAAAAACATTGCCATCGAAAATTATGAACAATAATTGAACGATTTGACAGAACAGCAGGATCATGGAATGACAAAAAAACTATATCGTGATTTTAATTGTTGTGGTGAATTTATTTCTTTAATATCCAGTGAAATTGAGGAAAAGATCCTCTCAGATATCCGAACATCCTGCAGCATTAAATCCTGACAATTGTATACCGGTAATGCTAAAAATAAACTAATCGGAATCACGACAATTGGCCACGTGACCTTTCGCCCGTACAGCATATTTCCGAGTTCCGACTATATACGGAAACCGATTTGTGCTACTTTGTTATTTATATACTTATATACTTTGTTATTTATTATTAACATGTGCTTACGAATAAAATAATTTAAAAAAAACATTTGTATGTACTTGTAGTTTTTACTAATTTATAACTTCCGTTTAGTTGTATGAAACCAAAAATAGGAATATGCAATGCAAGTTGCTGAAATAATATGACTATAAATGTTGATATTATAGCGATGTATGAATGCAAGTATGCAATTACTAAGGTCTTGTTTATACAGAGTTTCGGCTATTATTATCCCAAATAAATTATGCAATTAGTGAATTATGCAATTACTGACGTGAATAGAGTATGCATAAACTAACATGTTTGTTGTTGAAAAGACGACTATCCGTTGGGCCTAACCGTGGCCGGTTCATTTCAAGATGGATTAAGAACCCTGTCTTCTACCATCAAAGCCGGGAATCGTCTGAACACTACTACTAAAACATCGGGAAATAAGACAATTTTTAAACGTAATATCAAACCTAAACCCAACACAAAACCTATTTCAGACTTCCTATGTGCAGTACACTGAAATCCGATCTATACCGAGCTAACCTGGTCCAAACTCAAAATTGCCAATGCGGCCATACCATTGAAAATGCGCAGCATTATTTCTTGGACTGTCCAAATTACAAGACACAGCGCCACGATTTGGGAAGCAACACGCCAGATCATATTAACATTAATATTAGTACATTATTATGGGGTGATGAAAACTTAAGCAATTCTCAAAATTATTGACTCATTCAAAACATACATAAATACCTTAAAGATACAAAAAGATTTGACAATGTTACTTAATTATTACTTTGCTTTATATTCGAAATAAACAGTAAAATTTGTTTAAAACCTGATTTGGGTCAACATTTTAAAGGTGTACTTCCAATAACATATAGATTCTATAGTAAGGTGTAAACGAACATTCGCCAGTGGTTTAAGAGTGGTCCTTATCCTAAGTTACTATTTGGAAATACACCTTTAAGCTTGAAATAACCTCGTACCAACAGCGCTTGCAACCTTTCGATATCTTCTCCTGTAAGATAGTTGCAAATGGGGTTATAATTCCAAGATCCTTGCACTCACTGGAATAATTCTCTGATGGTTTTCTTATGATCGTCTTCGCCAATCTTGAGATTTATTCCCCAGCAGCGTCTTAATTCTCTTCTTATTTTGCACCCCTTGTTATCTTGAATAATTTCATGTACTTATGAAGGAAAGGATGTTTTTGTAAGTTTATGTAACTTTTGTCCGATCCATTTACTTTGTGGTAATAAAATATGTTTAAACCATTTGCACAGCACACCATGATGTCACAAATTACCTTGAGAACTGTTTGTCCTGCTTCAGCTGTTTTCACAACCAAGGTGTTATTATCTAATCCATTAGATACATGTAGTAAATTATACCTAAAAATAAAGGAATAGTTAGGCTATCACTGTAAAATCTATACTAGCCATATTGACTTTGCTGCTTTACTATCTGATTATTATTTTAGTAAGAATTTCGAAGATAGGTACACACAGCAGCTAAAATGCGGGTGTATATTAATTCATTCAATACTGCAGCATTAAACATGTTCACAATGTTTTCAGAAAATGGGGGATAATTGCAGAACAGAAGTTTGCATAATCAATAAGGGTTTGTACAGTACACGGCTAGAGTTTAAGACTAGAATACAATGAGTTTTTACACATTACATTATTACTGGTAATTTCAGTTAATTTAAATCAACCATCCATACAGCACCGTGCCATACATAATAAATCACTCCGCGATGCACAGAACGGTATGTCACATGGTCAATTACACGCTAAAACATTGAGTATATATTCTTATGCGATATCACCAACACGTAAGAGGAAGCGGGCATAATATCTCTGCTGTGACAATATACATCCATCGTCTTCAAACTCACTTCCATGGAAGCAGATATTAAATAAAGATATTTCACACACGTGTACTTATATGCACATGTCATATATTAATACAAATGCCACTAGTGTGTTATTTCTCATCTTCACCTGAATGTTAAGCAAGCTATTCTCTAAAAACATAGTCTCCCTCCCTAAGAAAACATCCTTTTTCACAGTAATAAAGTGTTAATATAATTAAACACAAACTTTATTATTTCATAATTTAGTAAAAATTGTAGAGCTCGATCAAATTGCACAGTGCTTTATTAATTAAAGATAGCTTGCCAGGCAACGTAAAACATAACCCCACAGCAGCTAAGTTGCAGAAACCATGATTTGGCAGTAGATTTCCAAAAACACATAAATTCGCACTTCCAAGGGTAATTACTTTAGAAATGATACACTGAACTGCACGCCCAACAATACAAAAATTGCATTAAATGGGTAATAGATAAAATATACACAAGCAATGGTAACCATATCTAAAGTTATTTATGTAATTAAACCAAAATTGAATATGTAGCCTACAGAAGAAATAATTAGTTAGTAACGTAAAAAAAAAAATAATTAAAATTACCAGTCCAGTGTACTGGCAGTAGGCCTACCAGTACCACTTTTCTTTTGTTTTAACTTAGTATGATTTTAAACATATCCTTGTGACGTGTGTTCCCCATTCCAAGAGTTTTTGTCAATATTGTTTCTTGTACGATTCTATAGTATTTCTACATTAGGAATAGAGTGGGGGGGGGCGTAAAAAAATAGTTTTGCAAACGCCTAAATATTGGTATCGATTTAATCATGTCCCCCATTGGCATGGCAATTATCCACTCAATGTACGGGATTTTTTTCTCTTCCGCGATTCCGTAAATCTTTTACATTTATTCGAGAGAGTGTTCCATGTAAGTCAGAATCGTAGAGACGTATTCCCATCTTGAAATTAAAGTTCCAGGTTGTGTTGCATTCAAAGTATTGTATTAGATGCTGTACGTACGTACGTACGCCCGCAAAAGAAAATGTCAGCCATTGCTACCATAAATTGGTTGCTATTTGTTTAGTTTATCGCTACACATTTTAAGAGTATTTGGAACACATGCCAATAATTATATCCACTTTATTAACTCTAAAATAGGTTGAAAAGAATTTGACAACAAAAATCTCTTAGCTAAATTACACCTTACAATATCCCAAATCGATGTTGATAACCGAAAGACAATGGGGAAATTAATGGTGGTCTGCCTCCGTTTACATGCAAAGAGTTGCTTCCCTTAGTTCCATACTTTTGGCGACAAAATTAAAAACTCTTTGTTTGAAAATGCTGTAGAAATCTACTACAGTGCAGTAGAGTGGTACATGAGGCCTGTTCGCGGCACTTTACCGCGTGATACGGTAGAGTTGACAGGTCTGCTGAGAACATTTACAACACATGAAAATCTGATGACGAGTAATAACACATGAAGTAATTATCAGAAAACATTAGAATTTGTTTTGATTGTTTGTCTTATGACCTTAAACAATTTATATTAACTTTAGCCTGTAGAGTGAATGAATGAATGAACTGATGTTTTAGCCTCTAGAACGTCCACAAGATTTTTCAAAGTGATCAAGGGCTTTAACTCTGGCAGTAATTATCCCCAATCGTTGAAAATTAATAGGATTCTTGTCAATCAGATATTAAATTTAGCCTTAAGAGCTTCTGTAAGACTGTTCAAAGATGTCAAGGGCTATAACTCTGGCAGTAATTATTAAAAATAGGTGAACATCAATAGGCTTCTTTGTCTCAAGACCTTAAACAGTGCGTATAAATCTAAAGTCAGTCGAATATTAACTTTAGCCTCTAGAGCATCAACAAGATATTTCAAAGAGATCAAGGGCCAAAACTCTGGCAGTAACAATCAGAAATTGCTGAAAATCAATAGGCTCCTTCGTCTCATGACCTTAAACACTGTGTATAAATTTAAAGTCAATTTGATATTAACTTTAGCCTCTAGAGCGTCCACAAGATTTTTCAAAGTGATCATGGGCCATAACTCTGGCAGTAATTATCGGATATCGTTGAAAATCAATAGACTTCTTTGTCTCATGACATCTTATAAAGTCAATCTGATATTAACTTTAGCCTCTAGAGTGTCCACAAGATTTTTCAAAGTGATCAAGGGCCATAACTCTGACAGTAATTATCGGATATGGTTGAAAATCAATAGGCTTCTTTGTCTCATGACATCTTATAAAGTCAATCTGATATTAACTTTAGCCTCTAGAGTGTCCACAAGATTTTTCAAAGTGATCAAGGGCCATAACTCTGACAGTAATTATCGGATATGGTTGAAAATCAATAGGCTTCTTTGTCTCATGACCTTAAACACTGTGTATAAATTTAAAGTCAATCAGATAGTAACTTTAACCTTAGAGCGTCCACAAAGATTTTTCAAAGTGATCAAGGGCCATAACTCTGGCAGTAATTATCAGAAACGCTGAAAATCAATAGACTTCTTCGTCTCATGACTTTAAACACTGTGTATAAATTTAAAGTCAATCGGATATTAACTTTAGCCTCTAGAGCGTCCACAAGCAATTGCAGACGCGGGACGGACAGATGGGGACGACGACAATCTACGACCACATTTTAATGTGGCCGTGTATAAAAAGGAATTGCATCATATATTAAGTTTAATTTTTAATAAAGCATGGGGATATCATAAGTAAGTTAATTCAATGTGTTTTTTTTGTGGCATATTAGATGAAATCGAAGGAGTGTTTTAGATTAGAGGTTACAGAACCACAAGTAAGGTGGAATTAATAAGTCGAACTGAACTGTTCTTCCGACTTAAAGGCAACTTCAATCATTAAATTTTATAGAGTTCTTGCTGTCAGATTTTCTAGGCAGAAATAGCTCAGACTGAGAGGCGACGCCAATCATTAAATTTTACATAGTCGAGTAGTCAGACTTTCTAGGTCGAAATAACTCTTTGGAATTAATGTCTTGATTAGAAATTTTGGCATTTACCTGTGACAATAAATTTAGCGACATATAAGGATATAGAATGGTTGATGAGTCATGCTAAGGTCTGTATGTGCGAATATTGGTGTCTATTCGGTGTTGATATTTAGAATAATATAAATTTGTTTATTAAATCGACACATATTTATTTTAAACATTACATCATAAAAATAGGCGGACATCACAAGGTAAGGCATATATAAATTTGTTTCCGATATAAATATTACAAAAATATATATCATATGACATCAAATAGACGAATACTACAATGCAGCCTACATTGGAACAAACAGTATTTAACAAATTCAAAACATGCATAACGTATTTCCTTTTTCTCAAATCAGGGGGCACAATCCATTACACGCCAATTTCAAAAGGAACCAAGATCTTTGGGATCTAAACCTATATTTTAAAGTTTTATCAAAATTGTGACTTGTATAGTGTCCACAAGCAAATTGTGGATGGACGCCAAGACGGACAGGGGCAACGACAATACATCCACATGAAAATGTGGGCGTATAAAAATTGTGACATCTAGAGGTGTCCACAAGCTAAAAGAGTGATTTTTCGTACTATCAGGGGCCATAATCCAGGAAGTTATCATGCGTGCAGAAATTCCTAATCGTCGGGATGTAGATTAGGGGAACCCTTACGTTTTTGTCCTGTATACGCTCCATGAGTGTTTTTCGGGGAATCCAGTATTTTTCTAGTAAGATTGGATATCTCTACTTTCCATATATACCAAAATTACCATACTTTTATTGGAAATAACCACCCGATAAATACTTTCTGGGAACCCATCTTTAATAACAGGCCAATTGCTTACACAGGAGCATAAACAGTCCATATGGGCGGCTTATCTAACGGCCCCATTTCACTCGCAAAGAGATACACTGTCAAAAGTGTAAATCAGCATTTTTGATTTTTGTCTTAATAATGAGTAATTGCTCCACCAATCCTCAGACATTCAGCAATTCGTCGTGGCATGCTCCTAATCAACCGTCCAATCACAATTTGGGGCAATCTGACCCATTCCTTTTGCAGTGCCACGTCCAATTTTTGCAGAGTTGTCGGTCGACGTTGACGTCGACGAACACGTCTCCCGATCAAATTAAAAGTAACACACTAAAGCAAAGATATGCTAAACAGTAAATCCTATGCAAGAACCAATAGGAAAGCAAACATGGATACTTAAACCAGCACTCGGCAGTTTTTATTAACCCTTCCTTGAAGTGTCAAATTTGACAATGAACCCCTCTCACGTGTATGGCGCTATTGCTTGTCGCATGTGCAGCTCAGTGGTTCTGTTGGGGCGATAAGTTCTTCATCTGTGAACATACTCTCAAAGCATGTCAAGTGTCTATGACTATTTATCATATCACAACCTGCACAGGTATTTGCATTTCAATATCCCCTACTTTTTTTGAAGAGTATATATAAAGTTGTTAAATAAAAGCTGTATCAAGCTACACATCATCATTTGTTATTTTCATCTGCTGAAAAGTACACGATGTACTCATTTTTCTGGACCACCGATACATCCAAATTATTCCACTAATTACAGTCAAATTGAACTTTTATTCGGCGGTTCTTAAAAGCAGATTTTAGAAAATTAGTCAATTTTAATTTGTCCTGCTCAATCTCTTCGGTAAGAAAATTCTTCATATGACCAAATTTATGTCTCTTCCCTTTACATCATATATCGGTATGAAGTCTGATGGAAAATCATGTTAGCGGTTCTGGAAAGGAATATGAAAATGTAAATGTCTTGCACCAGACAGACAACTAAAATAACAACAGTTACCTGCTACATCTGAACTTGAGGAGCGAATTGGTGGCAAAAAACTTGTCTCCAACATCATCATGATAAGTAATTGTAAAATGGAGAGTTGTTCCAACTGGTATACTAGTCAAGTGACCTCCTTGTGTTAGTAGTCGGGTGTCTGTGTTTATCATTAAATAGGAGATTGATTTAACCTATAATATATTAAGTTACCATACAAGAGTACAACCATGTAAAATAATCTTCAAATTTAAACAAGCCCTGTCAGGTTTTTTCTCCATTTTCACCTTTTATAGGCCCACGCTGAAATGTGGTCATATATGTGTCACACCTGTATACCTGTCCATCTGGCATCCACAATTGCTTGTGGGTGCTCTAAAAGCTGAAGCTATAGTCAGATTGATTAACTGACACACAGGTCATGAGTCATGAGACAAGAAACCTATTAATTTTTAGCCATGTCCAGTAATAACTGCCAGAGTCATAGCTCTTGATCAACCTGAAAAATCTTATGGCTGTGCTTAGTGAAGTTCATGAGATAAGAAGCCTTTCAATTTTCAGCAATCTCCGATAATTACTCCCATATTATAACCTCTGATCAATCTGAAAAATCGCTTGGACACTCTTACATAGACAAATGGGGTTTAATGTAAATTCAACACAAACTTCGTCATTTTCAGACTAACATATATTTTCCTATTATCTTTTCCATAAGGGGTCTTTATAGCAGTGGGAGGAAATCGGAGGACCCAGAGAAAACACACAAGGTTGGACAGGTGACCCCACTCCTTGACACGTACAAGGGGACAGGGGTGATGACAATATACATCATGTGGACGTATGAACACACTTATTAATGTAAAGAACACATAAATTTTAAACAGAGCTGATGATAAATATGCCACATTACAAATTATCAAGAAATACTTTATGTTGAAGCATGTTAATATAAACAAGGATGGAAGCTATATGATGCTATTTCCTGATCCTCTATAGTAATTTGGCCGTCACATTTCAATTATGGATCAAGAGCAGTCATGCTAACCTTCACTAAAATAACAGTGGTCTGATTCACACCAAACTCTTCTTCTGCAATAACTTCTAACATGGCTTGACCAATCTCAGAGCCTGATACAAGTTGACCAATTTCAGTTACATGTACTAAATCGGTTAAATTGTCAGAAAGCAATTTGTAGGTTAGTTTAGCATCTGAATCCCTGGAATATAAAAATTATTTACATTCCATTACATTCTGTATTTGGAATATTGAAAAAAAACAAGCCAACAGTGAGGCTAATGTCCCCCGCCGAAATCCCAAAATAAATAGATGACACATATTAATTAATCGCACATTTATTTTTTTCAAAAGTATCGAGCAATCAAACTACACACTAAGTTTCATCACTCTCTATCAGATAGATTCAAGATTATCTTGTCCCAAAGCATCGACCAATGAAACTGATTAGCTCTGCTTAGCTTTAGCTTGAAATGTTAATCATTGAAATCAGTCAAGACATTCACCTAATGAACATCTACATCAGGTTTAAACATTCTACCTCAATTAAAAGCAGAGTTTTTATGTTCCAAAGTCTTGACCAATAAAATTGCTTATCGCTTCTTAGCCCAGGCAGAAAATTCGCACAATCGAACTTAGTCAAGGTAATGATATAATGAATCTATATTCAGAGTTTCATCGCTCTCACTTCATTATGACCAAAGTTATCGTGCCCCTAAAGCATCAACCAATCAGATTGCTTATCTCTGCCTACCGTAAGCAGACAATGTTCATCATCGAACTCCATCAAGGGATTCGCCTAATGAATGCCTACACCGAGTTTGAACATTCTACCTCAATTAGAAGGAGAGTTATTGTGTTCCAAAGTCTTGTGCCCCTAAAGCATCAACCAATCAGATTGCTTATCTCTGCCTACCGTAAGCAGACAATGTTCATCATCGAACTCCATCAAGGGATTCACCTAATGAATGCCTACACCGAGTTTGAACATTCTACCTCAATTAGAAGGAGAGTTATTGTGTTCCAAAGTCTCGACCAATCAAATTGTATATCGCTCTGCTTACCCTCAGCAGAAAATGTTCATTATCGAACTTAGTCAAGGTATTGATGTAATAAAGCTATACACCAAGTGTCCTCACTCTCACTTAATTAGAACTAAAGTGATTGTGTCCCCAAGCATCAACCAATCAAATTGCTTATCTCTGCTAACCCTAAGCAGAAAATGCTCATATCTTCAACCTCGATCAAGGCATTGACCCAATAAAGACCTACACCAAGTTTGAACATTTTAGCTCAATTAGAAGGAGAGTAATTGTGTTCCAAAATCTTGGCCAATCAAATTGCTTATCGCTCTGCTTACCCTGAGCAGAAAATGCTCATTATCGAACTTAGTCAAGGTATTGAGGTAATGAAACTATACACCAAGTTTCATCACTCTCACTTAATTAAAACTAAAGTTATCGTGTCCCAAAGCATCAACCAATCAAATTGCTTATCTCCGCTTACCCTAAGCGGAAAATGCTCATCTTCGAACTCCATCAAGGTATTGACCTAATCCTACACCAAGTTTGAACATTGTAGCTCAATTAGAAAGAGAGTTATTGTGTCCCAAAAAGTGTGACGGACAGACAGACGGACGAACCCATTTAAATAGTCCCCTGCTTTCTTCGAAAAGCGGGGGACAATAAGGTTTGGCATTTTAGTGATAAACATACACCTCGGCTTTTGTCAGAGTTCCATGGTCATATATATCTTTGAAGATACTGAACATTATTCAATACAATGTCCCCTATATTCAGCTGTATGCAAACAATCCACAGCTCTCTTGTCCCCAGGTTTTTTTTCATCAAAAACTTTACTTCATGCCCACATTTTGCAAGAGACGCAAAGAGAACAAGCTAAACAAGGCCATAATTCAGGAAGTTACGATCCAATATGCGCGAATATTGACAGGAACCAAGATCTTTGGGTTACAAAGATATATTTCAAGTTTCATTAAAATCAGGGCCCGGTTCCTAGAAAATTCTTAAAGTAAGCACAAAGTCATGCTTCACTTTTTCCTACATAAGAAACTTATAAAAATACCGTCCCTAGAAAATTCTCAAGACCATTCTTACGAAAGCACAAGTCAAGTATAAGTCTAAGCACATTGTGACTGGTAAAGTTTACCATAAACTGAGACTACGATGCTCTTTAACGTCATAAAAACAACTTTGGTATGCGAATTATGTCTTAAATTTGTCGTCGGCTTCATTGACGTCATATGGTTCATTTCGATGCATTTGACATGTCCCCTATTCACATATAAAATGTGCCACAAGATAAAAAAAAAAGCAGACACATACAAACTAACTGAATAATTGTGAGAGCGCTTGATCTTAAAGTAGCCTGTGTTTTTGTAGCCTATTGTTTACTAATTGGCAAATAAATAAAATGGTTTCAGGGTAGGCCTAGAAGCGAAATTTTCTATAGCATTCTTAATTTGAAATTTCTTCTGGAGAAGGATTTTCTCTATCTTGTAATTGTCACTTTGGTATTAAAAGGTGTCGGAAATGCTGTCGAATAACTCTGCGGTCAGCCATCTTTTTGAAGCAGAAACAGACTTAAGGTTGGTAAGCAAGCCGTATACCTTGCTTGGGACTTGTGCTTAGATTGACTATGTTTAAGAACGAAGTTGTGCTTGTTGTGCTTAAGTTTTTTCTTGGAACGCATAATAACGTTCTTGTGCCTACAATGAAGTCTACTTAAAATCTAAGCATAAGAACGTTCTTAAGAATTTTCTGGGAACACAAAATAAGGTAAGTTTTCTTAAATGCAAAGTCTACTTAAATCTAAGCACAAGAACGTGCTTAAGAATTTTCTAGGAATCGGGCCCAGATTAAAATTGTGAATTCTAGAGGGTCCACAACCTTGATATACCATACATTTAGACTAATTGCGAACGAGGGGTGGCCATTTAGTACAACAATTTTGGTCCGATTTTCACGAAATTCGAACTCTGCCATCATTAGGGTGTAATGGTGATATATTCAAACATTTTTTTTTAAATTGGATAACAATTGTGACCTCTAGAGGGACCACAAGCTAACATGATTTTTTCGTACAATCAAGGGCCACAATTCAGAAAGTTACAATCCAATATGCGCGAATATCGAAAGGAACAAAGATTTTTGGGGTTATAAACATGTATTTCAAGTTTCATCAAAATCAGATCAAAATTATGACCTCTAGAGGGTCCACAATTTTTACATTATTTGCATACAAGGGGCGTCCATTTTGTCCGATAGTTTTGGTCCGATTTTCACGAAATTTGCACTCAAATATCATTACAGTGTAAAGGTTATATATTCAAACGTTTTTTTTTTAATCGGATAATAATTGTGACCTCTAGAGGAACCACAAGCTAAAAACGCGATTTTTCATACAATCAGGGGCCATAATTCAAGAAGTTACCATCCGATATGCACAAATATAGACAGGAATTAAGATCTTTGGTATATAAATATGCAGTTCAAGTTACATCAAAATCAGATGAAAATTGTGGCCTCTGGAGTGTCCACAAGCTAGAAACCTGATTTTTTGTACAATCCATGAAGTTATGGTCCAATATATGCCAATATCGAAAGGAACCAAGATCTTTGGGAGATAGACCAATATTTTAAGTTTGGTGAAAATCGAATAAAAATTGTGACCTGTAGAGTGTCCACAAACAAATTGTGAACAGACAGACGGACAGGGGGGACGGCAATATACGTCCACATGAAAATGTGGGCATATAAAAACAAATTGTTTATATTTATAGGAACAAGAGGTTGCCAAGCAAGATAAGCCCACATTTTGCAAGAGATGGACAGAGAACAAGCTAAACAAGCCAACAGTGAAATACCAAAATAAATAGATTAATTATAATTGCACCTTTATCTTTTACAAAAGTATCAAGCAATCAAACTGATTATCTATACTTAGTCTAAACATAAAATGTTCATGATCAAAATCAGTCAAGATTTTGAAGTACCTGGTAGTATAATAAATTGTTGATGTAATAAGGATGAATATTTGCTATTATGTACTTACCAGTAAGGAGAGAGAGAGAGAGAGAAATAGGGTTTAACGTCCACTCGAAAAAAACCAGGTCATTTCGGACTAAAATATGGTTCATTTTTATTTCAATAATCAGCTTGCGCGTAGGAGTCTTAAGCAGTGGGAGGAAACCGGAGGACCCACAAGGTTGGACAGGCGACCCTACTTCTTGTCACGTACAACCAGGGAATCGAAACCACGCCAATTGACTCAATGACAGACCTTCTGATACAGTGATACAGCACGTATGTGCTAACCATAACCATTCGGACATCCACCCCCCACCCGTAACGAAGACCATGCTAAGTTATGTATATATTCACCTATGAATTACTCACCTCTTTGTATTCTGATTACTATGATTTAATAATAAATAAATAACATATTTATTTGATTAAATAATAAATAATTAACAAAATATTTATTGTTTGTATTTCATTTTTTATTCGTCCTTGTGGTCCTTTGGGTTAGTCCGAGTAGCAAAGCTAAATATTGGTCTGAGTGGTCTTTTGGGTTGGTTCGAGTGGTCTTTGTATTGGTCTGAGTGGTCTTGGTTCGAGTTGTCTGGATACCTAAATTTCCTATGAGAAAGAAAATAAAATGTACACATGTTAATAAAATGTCAACCTTTATTTAAATGAAATGCTTAAAATGGGTAACGTACAAATATTCTTATTATTCGTATGTCGGGCCAAAAATCATTTCCTAAATAGCACTACTGTCCCTTTGACAAGATAAATTGCTTATTTCCGACTGATGTATTTTGGCTATGTATTTATGAGATGACGATTAGAATGATGTATTTCGACACCATAAATAATCTAAAACTAATCGTTAATTTGTTTTCTATGTATTTTCGCTACACGAAATGGAACTAAACAACTCCAAATATTAGAAAACATTAACATTGTCGTGTATTTATCAGTTATATTTTCCGCCGATTCTTTTTAAACACTTGCAATGCACTAGAACATGGTTAAAACTTTCTACTTCTAGTAACGGAAAAAAATGCATGGTTAAACATACAAAAACAATATGCAGAAAGTGCTTACCTTACTCATGTAGATGTTAAATATCCTTAATAATTATCCTATTCTGTATTAAAAAATTATCACTGACAAATATAAAAGACAGGTTGCCAGGCAACGAAACATACGCCCACAGCAGCTAAATCGTCCGTGCGGGTTGACAAGGGTTGTCGCATATTTATTCCTTTGTAGGTAATTGGGGGCCTTTACAAGACAGTTCCATACAGATCAGATAATAATTTTTGCCGTTTGACTTTGAGGGTTCACAAGGTTCTACAAACTGAAACAAGGGTCTCAACTCTGGAAGTAATCTACAGAAATTGTTGAAATTTGACAGGCTTTTCCGTTTCACAAATCTAAATGATGCATATAAATTTCATACATATCGGATGATAACTTTCATCAATAGAGCATTAACAAGGTTGAACAAAGTTAAACAAGGGCAATAACTCTAGAAGTAATAAACGGAAATTGCTGAATTTCAATAGGATTCTTCTCTTTACCAATTTAAATGACGCATGTAAATTTCATACAGATCGGCAGATAACTTTTGATGTTAGAGCATTCACAAATTTCAATAAAGTGAAACAAGGGCCATAACTCTACACGTAATAAACAGATATTGCTGAAATTCAATAAGCTTCTTCGTTTAACTTATTTAAATAATGCATATAAATTTCAGAAAGATCTGATGATAACTTTTTGTGTTAGAGCGTTCACAAGGTTCAATAAAATGAAACAAGGGCCATAACTCTAGGCGTAATACACAGAAATTGCTGAAATTCAATAGGCTTCTTCGTTTCACTAATTTAAATAATACATATAAATTTCAGAAAAAAAGGATGATAATTTTGGGGGTTAGAGTGTTCACAAGGTTAAACAAAGTGAAAAAAGGGCCATAACTCTAAAAGTAATAAACGGAAATTGCTGAAATTCAATAGGCTTCTTCATTTCCCCAATTTAAATATTGCATATAAATTTCACAAAGATCGGATGTTTCCTTTTGGCATTAGAGCGTTTACAAGGTTCAACAAGGGCCATAAATCTAGACGTTATAAACGGAAATTATTGAAATTAAATAGGCTTCTTCGTTTCAGAAAGATAGGATGATAACTTTTGGGGTTAGAGCGTTCACAAGGTTAAACAAAGTGAAACAAGGGCTATAACTCTAGAAGTAATAAACGGAAATTGCTGAAATTCAATAGCAGGCCATGAAATTTCACGCGAAAGATACCAACCGGTTAATTGCGGACGCACCACCTCAAAAACACACGACCGATATCCTGGTTACGCAAATTGAAATATCTGTTACGTTAATAAATTTCACATTTGATCAATTTTTATACAGGATGACTTGTGACACAGGTCTAAATTATTTGTATTATAGCACAAACTTCATTCATTCATTCTTGGCATTTCATTTCTCCATCTTACCGGTACTTTGACAGATCACGTATTTTGACACCACGTACTCGTAGCCTGTTGACCAGTTGCAAGCAGGTTGATTTAAAAATGCCCCTCACCCCTAAGTCTTTATATGATTAGTTATGCCATAAATATTTGAAAGCGTACCTTTGGATTTTCAAACACAAAATGAGAAATGAGTTTGACTATTTAACATGTCGGCTATATTTCCAAATAATTTACTACACGTGTTGCTTTTCAGTTTTCACTATAGCCATGCTGTAGTACCAATGACCCGTATGTATGTCGTCAACTTTGACCCCCTCCCCAAGCATCGCTCGAGCGATAATGTAAACAATTTTACTGCCCTGTCTATTTTTAATATTATTTCATGACATCAAACTATTCTGTTTCCTTTTGAGACTTTGTGTACAGAGTTCCGAGGTTTATCAATACTGTTTGTCAATCAGTCCCTACCTATGAGTGAGGCTATCTCATGCTACGTGCTTGGATGAATGATTGCAAATGACAAGTGTAATATGCAGTGACCGTTTTTTGAAGGTCAAATATGATACAAAAACGAAAATCCATTAGTTATTTTTAGAACCGATTCCTCTCATTATTAAAATATATAAGAATTTAGTCAAGTGGAACATTTTTTTTCTAACGTTTTATTTTTTAAATGGGGACACAGTGGGATTTCAGTCATAAACACTTAACATCAAAATATAATATTAAAGGGACAATAACACTCTTGCTGGTTTGAAAGCTCCAGAAAATAAATAATATCTCTATCTAAGTACTAGATGTTTAAGTGTCCTACCTGTTGTGTAAATTATCCAATACATCCTATTTTACTTGTCCAGAGGGTTCGAAAATATTTTTAAATCGAAGTTTCATTTGAAAAGGTTTACGTTAGACGTTTCAAACCATTATGTTGAATATTTCAAAATTTTTAAATAAGGTGTGTTAAGATGAAATTTGTATCATCAATTAATTGAAATATTGTAATATAGTACAATTTGTTGACCAGAATAAAGATTGGGACATATTATTCAGTTACAATAAGAGTGGTATTGAGCCTTTAAATATAAAAGAATATAAATTAGTCAAGTTATTTCTTTAAAAAATACATTCACTACAAGTTTAAATGAATAATAGCACCATTTAAATCTGGATAAAACATGAAAACAGCGCAACCATTTTATGTAACCAATTGGTTACGCAATGGTCATCTGACGTAACCAAAGAAAATGGTTACGCAGAGCATAAACCCGCAACCATTTTTCTGGTAACGCCAAAATTTGAAATTTTGTGGCCTGAATAGGATTCTTCGTTTCCCTAATTCAAATATTGCATATAAATTTCATAAACATTGGATGTTAACTTTTGGCATTAGAGCGTTCACAAGGTCAAACAAAGTGAAACAAGGGCCATAATTCTAGACATTATAAAAGGAAATTATTGAAATTAAATAGGCTTCTTCACCTCACTAATGTAAACAACATATGTGACCCGCCGCATCTAAATGAGTCGGAATGCGGGAGAATCAATAATGAGATAAAGACAAAATAAGTGAAAATATTGATTTTGAACGAAATTGAGATTTTCACAAAAATGAGTCTATAAATATACTATCTATCGACACAGAAGATCAAAATAGCAATAAAATATTTTAAAACACCTGTATTTGAATGTTTTGTAAGAGTACCGTATTCTTAAATCTGTCCTATTTCTGAAAATTCTCGGCGAAATTAGTTATTTTTCTTTGCTCGCAGTGGGACGACCGGTCATTCCTCTTGCATAACAATTGGCATCGTTGTAAAGTGGAGCATCTCTTGTTTATAAATATGATCAAAATATTGTCGATGAATTGATTTTGAACGGAAACAATCGAGTTTTAAAACCCTCCGAAAATATAAATAAACTCCGCCTGTTGCCATGCTGTCCACACAACTCCTTTGCTGATTGGCCCGGACACCGCGTGCAAGGCATTATCGATAAATATTTGGTTTTGGCAATGTTTTTAGGTACCTTCATGCGATTCACTCTGATAAGTGGCAGAAAAAAAATTAATTCTGATCGTATAGATTGCCGTTTAGTGTTAATCGAAACCACGTGGCTGATGATGTAAATTAATCGACAAGCGGGGGTGTGTCATTGAGTAATACTATTACTAATCAACTGTCACGGGTCAATGATAAAGCCGTCGACAACTCATTATTTACTCCGAATAATTAATCCAAGTGGTGATTGTTTGATATCTCATATCATCTTTAAAAAAATAATCTATAGGCCTTAAATGGAAATAAACAAAATGGCCAATAATGTTCTTTTCGAAGAGAATTTTATTGATCCCTTTAACGTCGCTTCTTCATACGGCATGCAAAGTAAGGAATGCATTTGGGATATTGTTTAAAATTCCTTTATCACAATGGGTCGAAAAAATGAGAACGACTAATGGACACAATAACTCAATTTTCAAAATTTCCTCATTGTGACTCAGTATGCTGTCGGGGGTCACATATATCAATTTTAAAACAATTGGATGATAACTTTTGGCGTTAGAGCGTTCACAAGAAATTGTGGATGACAGACGGACGTAGGCGACGGCAATATACGTCCACATTTCTATGTGGGCGTATAAAAATATACATTCAAAACAGAGCACGCGCTACACGAAAAGAAACCAGCGGCTGCCAGGCAAGATATGCCCACATTTTGCAAGAGATAGATAGAGAACAGCTAAAAACAAAAGCGATTTTTTGTACAATCAGGGGCCATAATCCAGAAAGTTATGGTCTGAAATGTGCAAATATCATAAGGGACTGAGATCTTTGGGATATAAAGATATATTTTAAGTTTCATCAAAATCGGATAAAAATTGTGACCTCTACAGGGTCCACAACCTTCGTATTACATACTTTTATACAATTTGCGTACAAAGAGCGACCATTTTGTCGCGCGGTTTCATTTCTATTTTTCCGAAATATGAATTCAACCTTCATTATGGAGGAATGGTGATATATTTAAACGTTTTTTAAAATCGGATAAAAAAATTGTGATCTCTAGAGAATCTACAAACTAAAACAAGCCAACAGTAATAAATAGATGACACATACCGTATTTTTCGGTGTATTAGGCACACTTTTTTTACCAAATATTTTATTTTCTAGAAGGGGTGCACCTAATACATAACGTTAAGCAAATCCAGGCATTTCCCGTGTCGACACCTAAGTCGAAAGTCCAAGAAATAACTGCCCTAGAATCAACACATGTCAGTGGTGTTATCAGTCAAGTTGACGAATAGGGTGGGGGCTGCATTCCTACGAGCATTTTCATTGGCTCAATATAAATCATTGGTATTAAGGGTGGGATTACAGTTAAACTGACATATTATATTGGTGGTTCTTCAGTCTAACCTGTTATTGAAACTTCAAACCTACTTGACATAGTCAACCAATTCTTTCTCAATTTGTGGATAACGTGCGTCGCTTCATCTATTGGCTTCTTTATTTGGTTTATGTGACTAAGTTCCCAACTCATAGCCACCTTACGTTTGACTCACCCAAATTAAATTCACAAAGCGTAGCCATTCCCAATAGATAATTTTTTAAAAATTTGAAGGAAAGGTTGTTGGTATTTTCTATACATTGCTGTAAATTTTACATCTAGCCGTTTCAAGTTACCGCTAGTTTTCAACTTTTCATGCAACATAGATTCACTGATTGATCCATTGTTATAATTTACCGGTATCGTTAATTAAAGCACATAATTTATACATTACAAATTAATTAAAACGTTTAATTATGAAGGCATATGGATATCAATAATGTAATAATAAATAATAGTATTGCTTGTATTTTTGTCTTGTCTATTTTACTTGTTTGTTTGAGCATTTCTCTGATTATAATGGCTTGGCTGTTTTTTTCATTTGAGATACCAACCGAAATTTCCTATGAGAAACAAAATAAATTGTTAATAATAAATATCAAGCTTTATTTAAATGAGATGAAATAAAAGGGAAACATACATTTATGTCATTGCAATAAGACCAACACAGTATGCACACACGACAAAATTGTCCTTTTTTGTTGTACTTTGTCATCCTTGAATAAACTGTCACAGGTAAAAATAGTCACACTCCAACCAACTATTTCAGCTAATCCATTACAGCACGATCTAACAGTGTCGCCTTTCTATCTGAGAACAGAGTCGATCGCTTTTCGGTCTGAGATCAAAGAGCAATTTTATGTGAAAAGCGTGCTCTCCGGACAGTATAAATTATATTATAAGGATGAGATTGAATCCACTGTACCTGTGGTTTATCAGTGCCGTGGAGTATAATAATAAAGCTATTTCATACGATGGGAATATTAAGTTTAGCTGTTCTTATAAAACCCATATTTCCATAGGTCGGTATTGTGCATGCAAAGAGAAGCTTGTTACACAAAGTGTGATGAAATCAGAGAATAACAGAAGATGTTCGATGATCAGCTCCATGTGTTGGAAGCGGACTTGAGTCCCTATTAGTAGACATGATTAGTATTATTTGGTATGTGATTTATCTATTGTTATTAGTGATGGAATTTGTTTCCTTGGATAGCCCTATTTACGACCCAGGTAAGAAATACATTTATAATTGTGTTTTCAAAACAGATTAGACCATCTGATATCAAGAGATTAGAACATATTGTATTGGATAATCAAATGGAGGTTTGGCGGGATATCGGTAAATAATGATATTGCGTGCAACCGATTTTAAGACACATGCATTTATAGTTCAGTGGTACCACGATACTGTTAACAAATGAAACCCACAAAAAGACAAAAAATATAAATATCTGCAGCTAGACAATGGTACACAGTATAAAACACGTAGTATTCATCAACAAATGCAATACGCATAGATAAACCCTTTCATTACTAGTGAGTTTTAAAATGTATGACGCCAAATCCTGACAATATTCAGAAAAAACGTTGAAAAAATATGCGAAATGTTCATATGATTATAGCTCAAAACCTATCAACTTTGAAAGAAGACAAGTTATGATTTTCTGAAAGGAAATTAAATTCTCTATCAAATGGAGTCAACTAGAAATATGTATCTCTGATCACTACTTAGTTGAGATATGGCTGAATATATGATTTATAAAATATTGATCAGAATTTACAAGGAAGGAATTCTTTCAGTTTACGTAAATGATATATTTTTTGATTAATAATTTTTGAAATATAATTTACGTGATCGTTCCATTACAGATGATTATCGACCTGAACACCAAGCAATTTAAAAGTTGGAACATTTTCAATCGCACAGTTGTTAAGGTTTATCAATAAATCTGGTGTTAAAAGTCATTTTCTTTTCTGCTTAGTAGTTATTAGCATGCATCCATTTAGTTAATGCATTAATTCGTTGACAATCATCGAATTGTGGCCACACCAGTTGAGTAAGATATCAGTATCATTTTGTAATTTAATTTGAAGATCATTTAAATTGGTAGCTGACGAATAGACTGTTGTATCATCCGCAAATAAATCACAGAATGGAGAGGAAAATTATTTATGAAAATATTAAATAATAATGGTCCTAAAATAGATCCCTGTGGAATACCACAAGTAATTGGTTGAAGTTGAGAATAGGGTCCATTTGCGAAAGTACATTGATTTCGGTGGTCCAGGTAAGAATGAATTAAGTTCAGGAAGTTATCAGAAAGTTGATAGTAACGACATGATGTGATTAACAAGATCAAAAGCTTTCTTAAAATCAAACAAGCCAACAGTGAGGCTGATGTCCCCCGCCGAGATCCCCAAATAAATAGATGACACATGTTAATTAATCGCACATCTAATTTTTTCAAAAGTATCAAGCAATCAAACTGATTATCAACTATACACTAAGTCTCACCACTCTCTATCAGATAGAATCAAAGTTATCTTGTCCCAAAGCATCGACCAAGGAAATTGCTTATCTCTGCTTAGCTTTAGCTCGATATGTTAATCATTAAACTCAGTCAAGATGAACATCTACATCAAGTTTAAAAATTCTAGCTCAATTAGAAGCAGAGTTGTTAGGTTCCAAAGTCTTGACCAATCAAAATGCTTATTGCTCCTTAGCCTAAGCAGACAATTCTCATCATCGAACTTAGTCAAGGTATTGATGTAATGAAACTATACACCAAGTTTCATCACTCTCACTTAATTAGAACTAAAGATATCGTGTCCCAAAGCATCAACCAATCAAATTGCTTATCTCTACTTACCATAAGCAGAAAATGCTCATCTTCACCCTCTATCAATGCATTGACCTCATAAACACCTACACCAAGTTTGAACATTCTAGCTCAGTTAGAAGGAGAGTTATTGTGTTCCAAAGTCTCGGCCAATCAAATTGGTTATCGCTCTGCTTACCCTGAGCAGAAAATGCTCATTATCGAACTTAGTCAAGGTATTGATGTAATGAAACTATACACCAAGTTTCATCACTCTCACTTAATTAGAACTAAAGTTATTGTGTCCCAAAGCATCAACCAATCAAATTGCTTATCTCTGCTTACCCTAAGCAGAAAATGCTCACCTTCGAACTCCATCAAGGCATTGACCTAATAAACACCTACACCAAGTTTGAACATTCTAGGTCAATTAGAAGGAGAGTTATTGTGTCCCAAAAAGTGTGACAGACAGACAGACGGACGGACAGACAGACGGACGAACAGACAGACGGACGAACCCATTTTAATAGTCCCCTGCTTTCTTCGAAAGGCGGGGGACAAAAACTCTTAATCTTAAATTAGTTCAGTAACAAGAATAATGTTTGCTTACAGTGAGTTTATAGTGGGATAAACAACAGGAGGAAACTGATCCGGCATGGTTCCCCCCTTGTCAGTGATGCAGGACGGAGGGCCTGACAAGGACAGCTGGCTAGTCATTTGGATGGGACAAAAAAACGAGGTCCCTTGTACACATTGACGTGCACATAAAAGATCCCTCGACAGTTGGAATTCGATATAAGAGTAGGCCGTAGTGCCGCTGTCCGGGGAAAATTTCCCTCATAGCACACTGTATGGTGTATGCCCATCTTCATTAGCCCAACTTAGGAGCAGAACAGTAGGACAGTAGTATCAAGCGTCAAATTCAAATCCATATCCAACAAAAATATGGTTAACAGCTGATCAATTACAAAAAAACAAGGCATTGACCTAATAAACACATACACCAAGTTTGAACATTCTAGCTCAATTAAAAGTTATCGTGTCCCAAAGCATCAACCAATCAAATTGCTTATCTCTGCTTACCCTAAGCGGAAAATGCTCATCTTCGAACTCCATCAAGGCATTGACCTAATCAACACATACACCAAGTTTGGACATTCTAGCCCAATTAGGAAGAGAGTTATCGTGTCCCAAAGCATCAACCAATCAAATTGCTTATCTCTGCTTACCCTAAGCGGAAAATGCTCATCTTCGAACTCCATCAAGGCATTGACCTAATAAACACATACACCAAGTTTGAACATTCTAGCTCAATTAGGAAGAGAGTTATTGTGTCCCAAAAAGTGTGACGGACAGACAGACGGACGGACGGACGGACAGACAGACGGACAGACAGACAGACAGACGGACGAACCCATTTTAATAGTCCCCTGCTTTCTTCGAAAGGCGGGGGACAAAAATATAGCACCACACAGTTCATTATTATTTAGAGAATTATAAAAGTGTTCGTTATGTTAGTTAAAGCGGTTAGACACAAGTTATTTGTTCTGAATCCTGATTGATTAATATAAAGTAAATTATTGTTATATAAATAATTATATCAATTACTGTGAATGTGCCATTTGAGAATTTTGGATATTGACGGTAATACTGATATTGGTCTGTAATTTTTGGGATCAGTTTTGGGACCATTTTTGTGAACAGGTAATACTTTAGCTTTCTTAAATTCTTTAGGAAAATAATTTGATTTTATACACAAATTAACGATATAGGTTAAACTGTCTGCAAGAACATGTGTGCCATGTTGCAGAAACATGCATTGATCATATCTAAACCTACAGATTTTGAGACATCTAAAGATTTAAGAGATTTATTAACTTCATTAATAGTTATGAGATAGGTTGCCAGGCAACAAAACATACACCCACAGCAGCTAAATCGTCCGAGCAGTCGACAAGGGTTGTCACATATTTATTTTTTTGTAGGTAATTAGGGGAATTTAATAGACAATTTCATACTGATGACATTATAATTTACGTTGTTTGAAGGTTCACAAGGTTCTAAAAACTAAAACAAGGGCCATAACTCTGGAAGCAATCTACAGAAATTGTTCAAATTCGACAGGCTTTTTTCGTTTTACTAATTCAAATAATGCATATAAATTTCATACAGATCGGATGTGAACTTTTGTTGTTCGAAAGTTCACAAAGTTCAACAAAGTAAATCAAGGGCCATAACTCTAGACGTAATTGACGGAAATTGCTGACATTCAATAGGCTTATTCGGCTTCATTTCACTAATTTAGGTGATAACTGAAACTCAATAGGCTTGTTCGTTTTACTAATTTAAATGATACATATAAATTTCATACAGATCGGATAATAACTTTTGTCGTTAGAGCATTTACAAGGTACAACAAAGTGAAACAAGGGCCATAACTCACGGCGTAATAAACGGAAATTGCTGAAATTCAATAGGCTTCTTCGTTTCACTAATTTAAATGATGCATATCAATTTCAAACAGATCAGATAATAACTGTTGTCATTAGAGCATTCACAGCATTCAACAAAGTGAAACAAGGGCCATAACTCTAAATGTAATTAACGGAAATTGCTGAAATTCAATAGGCTTCTTTGTTTTACTAATTTAAATGATGCATATAAATTTCATACCGATCGGTCGATAACTTTTGTCGTTAGAGCGTTCACAAGGTGAAACAAGGGCCATAACTCCAGAAGAAATTAATGGAAATGGCTGAAATTAAATAGGCTTCTTCATCTCACTAATTTCAAAACAATCGGTTGATAAATGTAGTCTGTAGAGTGTTCACAAGAAATGTGGGCGTATAAAAATGGGGAAACTTTAGAAAGGTCGGTAGAGGGACTCTCAATCAAGAGAAACCTCGGCCATGCCTTTGATATTTTTACTTTATTAATAAATAATTCAGAAACATCCTCAGTATTAGGACGTTTCTGTTTTATTTTATATTGTTTGTTTATAGGTGGTGGGGGGGGGGGGATTGGGGAATCCATGTATAATATTTTTTTGTTGTCCCCCAGGTTACTGCCCTGCCTACTAAGGGGATGACTAGCACGGATATCCGGCGCATGGCCTCAGGGCTCGACAAGGGGTATACTCAAGCCAGAAAGTAAAAAAACTTGTCTAACCTGATTGACCCAAGCCGCGGCTCTGTAGAAAGTACTCAGGACACAAAGGTGAATAAGCTGAGTATAGAAAACAACCAAGCATTGAAATTGAGAAATGTACACTCTACAGAGCTAAAACAACCAAAGCCCATTGATCAGAGTGGGCCACTCTGACCTCCCGGCTCGCAAACTAAATCCCCACTCAATTACCAGGATTCCACCCTCCACCGACACGGGTCGCAACGTACGGCAAACAAGTTGCCCCATTACAGGGATCCATTTAGTCGCCTTTTACGACACGCAGAACATACGAAGGGTATATTCTTATCACCCCCGACACCCCAAGGGGGGGGGGGGGAAATGAGATGAATACATATACTACTTCTTAATACGTACCTGTTAGTTTTAACAATAGTTTCTGTGTTAGGCGTCATCAACAGTTGACCTCCACATACAGTTGGACTAATAACAGATAATTTCTCAAAAACCTGCAAAAAAGAGTAAATATTCTTGTAACTTGTAACCAAAGTAAAGTACTCGTGAATTTTCTTGGTTTTGTTGACAACATGCCAAATTTTTAGACAGTACAATATCATTGCAGAAATTCAATAGGATTCTTTGTTTCACTAATCTTGATAATGGACACAGATTTCATACAAGATTCTTCAAAGTGAAACAAGTGCCATAACACTAATAACAGTAGTAATTTATGGAAATTCTTGAAATTCACTTATTGAAATAATGCATATCAATTTAATACAGAATTAACACTGTCATAGGGTCTGATATGCACGAAGATCAAAAGGAACCAAAATCTTTGGGATAATCAGGCTTTTAACTGACTCTGTATACAATTGTTAAAGGGACAATAACACTCTTGCTGGCTTGACAGCTCCAGAAAATAAATAATAGCCTTATTCTAAGTACTAGATGTTTAAGTGTCCTACCTGTTGTGTAAATTATCCATTATAGTCCATGTGACAGACAGATTTTCATTACCAATTTGATGAATAAATTTAACCATGATTTTCAGTTAGCCTTAGGTCTAAAGTGTCCAAAATTGGTTGATGGACATCCGGGTCACTTTGCCAAATATGAGTTTGGCGGCCATCTTTAAAAATGGCCGCCATTTTTTTATTTGAAATAGTGTAAGTCAGGGAAACCTCCACAACTCCTCAACAGGTTCACCTACGGATATGTAATATGGCTCAAAATGTTCATAATGCAATTCTACATCTGCTGGTATATGATTCATGTTGTTTAATCAATGCTTTCGGTTTCAACATAAAAGATTAATCTGAAAACAGCAATATTTTCGGGGTTTTTTCATGATGTCTGTTCATAAGTTTACTAAAAAAAAATCTTGTCCAGACCCATATAAGCCAAATTATCTATTTGGTCAACTAAAGTGATTTACTAGATATCAGAAACATTGATCATAAAAAAATATTTCTCTAATATGAGTGCCCCAAATCCAAGATGGCAGAAATTCAAAATGGCGGCCTAAAGTTGCTCAAATGGCCAATTTGTCAGATAATAGTTATTTCACAGTTTGATATTATAATATCCAATTGAATGGGATTACTGAACTTAAAATGAACCAAAACACAGAGTGTTGAATATTCAAAAAGGCGGCCAGAATTTCCGTAAAATGATCGATTTTCTGTTTGATGTAGCTTGTAATATGTCTTTTATAAGCAAATAACACACTATTTATGGATAACAATTACTATAGTTTATTTCACTGCGACGTTTCAACAAGATTTCACAAGTCGTTATCATGTTTTTACTGTTATGGCCTATTGCTCGTGGTTCATTATACCGCTTAAATAATTGTTTGATCTTTTATTCTTGTGCTTATCTATACCAATTACAGTTTATACTTGTCTATGTGCATTTGTTTATCTAACGGCTTGGGACAGTTGCCCATACTAGCTGATTTTGCATCCCATTGGAGGGTCCACAATGCTCTTGTATATATATATATATATATATATATATATATATATATATATATATATAACCATATTCTTTTCATTTTATTGTCCCTCGCCTTTCGAAGAAAGCAGAGGACTATTAAAATGGGTTCGTCTGTCCGTCTGTCACACTTTTTGCGACACAATAACTCTCTTTCTAATTGAGCTAGAATGTTCAAACTTGGTGTAGGTGTTTATTAGGCCAATGCCTTGATGGAGTTCCAAGATGAGAATTTTTTGCTTAGGGTAAGCAGAGATAAGCAATTTGATTGGTTGATGTTTTGGGACACGATAGTACTTTAGTTCTAATTAAGTGAGAGTGATAAAACTTGGTGTATAGTTTCATTACATCAAAACCTTGACTAAGTTCGATAATGAGCATTTTCTGCTCAGGGTAAGCAGAACGATAAGCAATTTGATTGGCCGAGACTTTAGAACACAATAACTCTCATTCTAATTGAGGTAGAATGTTCAAACTGGGTGTAGGCGTTCATTAGGTGAATGCCTTGATGGAGTTCGATGACGAACATTGTCTGTTTAGGGTAAACAGAGATAAGCTATCTCATTGGTTGATGCTTTGGGGCACGATAACTTTGGTTATAATGAAGTCAGGGCGATATTAGCTTGACTAAGTTCGATCGTGAGAATTTTCTGCTTAGGCCAAAGAGCGATAAGCAATTTGATTGGTCAAGACTTTGGAACACAATAACTCTGCTTTTAATTGGGGTAGAATGTTGAAACTTGATGTAAATGTTCATTAGGTGAATGTCTTGACTCAGTTCAGTAATTAACATTTCGGGCTAAAGCTAAGCAGAGCTAAGCAATTTCATTGATCGATGCTTTGAGACAAGATAACTTTGATTCTATCTGATAAAGAGTGATGAAACTTAGTGTATAGTTGATAATCAGTTTGATTGCTCGATACTTTTGAAAAAAATAAATGTGCGATTAATTAATATTGGTCATCTATTTATTTAGGGATTTGGACGGGGGACATCAGCCTCACTGTTGGCTTGTTTCTTAATGTTATATGCTTGATAAGGACTTGTGAAATCTTGTTGAAACGTCGCAGTGAAATAAACTATAGAAATTGTTATCCGTAAATAGTGTGTTATTTGATTATGCTTCAATTACTATATGCCTGACCCATGACCCACCTACAATGCCCAACTAGTCTTATGCGGGACATATTGTGATCAATGGCCAACTGAATGCAGGCGCTGATTGGGCCATGCGATCGCATATTTGGGGTTCATTTTTCAAATTTTTCCAGCGGGAGAGCCCCCGGAACCCCCGTTCGTGCTCCGCGGTCAGTAAAAGGGGCAGCTCCGACACGGGAGCCCGGGTCGGTTCCCGGCCCCAATCCGCCCCTGACTGAAAGTGTACCACTATATTTATGCCTGATCTTGCTTGACCCATTACCCACCTAAGAGTGTCCATAATTTTAATGCGTAACCTACAGTTCCCCCCATTTTTATGCATGGTCTAGTCTGACCCACTTAGCAATTTTTATGTGTGGCTTAGGTTTTTTTTCGGTAATTAGTGTTGTTTTTTCGTTATTTATTGATTTTTCGATATTTTGGGTTTTTCGAATTTTTTCGGTAATTAGTATCAAAAAGTTTTTTCGGTATTTATCACTATTTCCGTATTTTGTCTGCATTTTTCGGTACTTTTCAGATTTTTATCTCGGTACTCTTCGCATTTTTTAGTTATATGGTACAACTGGACCGGTTTTTCATCAAAGACTCTATGACTGGCAACTTTTGTGGTATAGTCTAGATATCGTATCGACAGATCCATTTCACAACAAGTTGAAAGTTTAAAAAGAATCGTTGCGAAGATAATTTGAAATGCATTTACGACTAGGCATCACAAAAATAATGTCGACCAATTTTCTCTTTCGCTTTAGGCAGGCCTATGATATTAAAATGATATCATCATTGTCGCTGCCGAGATCTCCTGTTTCTACTTGTACTTTGGCTAGTGTACATTGCTGAAGAAAAACAGTAGTTGCGATTGTCACAGTAATTCCAATGAGGTGGATGGTTGTGACATTAACAAAGAGGAAATCGTGAGCCATGGCTTTTGGGATACCTAGTCGTAAATGTATTTCAAATTATCTCTGTAATTATCATTTTTAAACTTAGAACTTGTGAAATACACTTTACACTTTCACAATTTACAAATATGAATCCATGATACCATCTGTCTAGATTCTAGATGATACCACAAAAGGTTGTCAGACTCTTCAAAGTAAAAATCTATCACATTATGACACAGGGATCGAATTCCGGACCTTGTTGAGCCTTACCCACTGAGCCACTATTTCGGCCCATTTGTGAACAAACAGAATAGGTAATTCTTAACAACTAGATATATTTGCAAAGATATATTAAAATTCCATACGGCTTTGCTGGAATAATATTAAATCTTGTTTTCTGATTTACGAGATCTAGTATAATTAATTCCATCCTCCCCTAAAAAACTGCTACACAATTTTATAATAAGCAAAGCCAATAGAAAGACTGACAATTGTCCCGTTTTGTTCTTAAGCAATCATCTACGATATTAAAAATCTATTTTTGGGGCAATCATCTACCTTATCCAAAATCTATTTTTGAGGTAATATTTAAGTTTAGTGATCCTGAAAACCCCATAAAGGACATATTACAAGCCGTACAAAACAGAAAAATGACGATTATCTGAAAAATCATTCATTTTAGGGAAAATCTTGCCGCCATCTTGGATTTTAGCCATCTTGGATTTTGGAAACCCTTTTTTTAGAGGTTGTATTTATGTTCTGTGACATCGAAAACCCCCTAAGCGGCATATTACAGGGCATATCAAACTGTAAAATAACGATTATCCGAGGCATCGATCAAATTTTGACTGCCATTTTGAATTTTCGCCATCTTGGATTTGGGGAAACTAATTTTATAGATCAATTCAAAGTACAATGACTACGGAAACCCTATATATGATATATCACAAGTCTTGCTTTGCGTGATACTCATCCATCCTAACAAGAAATTCATTTTTCGTCAAATTTTGGCGGCCATTTTGGAAATCGGACGGATTCAACCGAAAATGACGTCACAGAAGTGACATAATATCAAAATCGTCTTCAGTGACAAATTTTTCTTCAGAAACAACCGGTCCCCAAATATCGTTGCGATTGCGACAACCCTAAATAAACGTTCACATGGTTAGTACCCTAACTCGCCGAGGCTCAACATTTTAAAATTGACAGTCAACTCAAGACTTTTGTTGAGTTTCCGACCACCGCAGCTGTACAGACTGGGTCACTGAGCGTATTTATTTATGCCAAATGAATAACTTAAGAAGACCACACACAAAATTTGGCTAAATTTACCTTGAACATGATTTGGTAGTGAACTTATAAAATAAATCTTGAAAAAAAATGCCAAAACGTTGCTTTTTTCAGAATAATCTGTTGATTTAGAAAATATATGATTCATTCACCAACATGTGTCATATAACAGCAGCTGTAG